AGCTCCTGATCAAGCTGCTTAACGGCCATGATCCCAGAGACTCAGGAGCAAATCTCGGAACCCAGCAGGTTTTGGCAGAAATCACCCCAGATAAATGTTAAAATTTCAGAATTTCAAAATCGTGCGGCCACTACTGCAGTCACTTGACAACATATTATTCATAACCAACATTAGAATACTCTCGGTAGCTTGCCGGGCTCTCCGAGAGGGGCAGAGGAATCGAACTCGGGTCGGCCATGTTGGCTGCGTGCAAGGCAGACACCCTACCCGCTGTGCTATCGCTCCAGCCCAAGCTACCGAGAGTATTCGATATGCCAGACACAGTAACAACAAAGCCTTCAATGGAGATGTTACTGGGCCTGCTCGAGCAAATCGATGATCAACGGGAGGGCCTTTACTTACTTTACTTAACATTAGAAAAAAAATTGTCTACTGTTGCCTTTTCAGCAGATCTGAGTGTTGGGGTAAAATCCCAAATAATAATGGTGGGTCTGCTGTCAAAATATTGAATGTGATCAAAGTAGAGAGAGAGTAATGTGGAAATCATCTGCCCCACACGCAGGGGGAGGGTGTAGGATGGGGGTATACTGGGGTTGTTGGGGGTGGAAAATGAGCATTGGTGAAGGTACGGGTGTTTCATTGTATGACCGAGACTTAGACCCGAAAGCTTTGTAACTGCTCTCACGGTGATTCAATAAATAAAATTATAAAAAATGAAAAGAAAAAGTAAGGTGGAGTTCATGCCCATTTCTGTCAGCTAATCAGTGGCTGAATAAATAGCAGTACTCCTACATTAAAAAAAAAAGAAATATTATAAGAAGTAAATTTACTCACTGTTTAAATGAATTACTGAGGAAAGAAGAAAGCAATATACCCTGGATGGAATCCTGCCCTTAAGTGGATCTCCTAATAATCTAGAGTGCTGAATCCTCAGATGAGATTTTGTCCTCAGAGTTAATCCCCTAGAACTTCTCCAGAAGAAGTGGCTTTACCTGTTTATTTTTATGACAATGTTCAACTCCACCTACGTGTACCCCCATCATTCATGATTGCTATATAACTATGCTGTAAGGGGAAAGAAGGGACTACAAGACTACAACGAGAAGAGGAAGAAGATATAATGAAGAAGAGGACTTTGAGGTCTATGAGGAGACTAGGATAACGGAACTATGATGACGAGGACTATGGCCAAAGCTACAACTCCGATTGAGTTTTAAGGACTACACTGGGGAGGAGAGAGAAATAAACTGACAACCAACAAGCCTGGGGCCCTGTATCTCCTTACCCCTGACCCTTTGTCCATCATGGACTGGCCAGGGTAAGGACAGGGGAACGGCTCTCGGCCACTGAACCCTCGCATCCCTCGTGCACCCATGTGCTTTCATTAGAAGTTCACAAATAAATACAACAAATAAACAAACAAAAAAGACTGGAAATTAAGAAGCACATTTTGAAATCAATGACATGAGTTCTCAAAGATAAAAGGAAAACTTGAAAATTCAAGATAGCCAATGTGTAATGAAAAACACACCAAAACTCATGGAACACAGTACACTTGTTCTCAGAGGACACCTTTACTAATAAAGAATAAAAATTAGGGGCTTGAGCAATAGCACAGCGGGTAGGGTGTTTGTCTTGCATGCGTCTGACCCGGGTTCGATTCCCAGCATCCCATATGGTCCCCCAAGCACCGCCAGGAGTAATTCCTGAGTACAGAGCCAGGAGTAACCCCTGTGCAATGCCGGGTGTAACGCAAAAAGCAAAAAAAGAAAAGAAAAAAAATGCATCTAGGAAAGCAAGCATATTTCAGTGTCAAAAAAAGTAAATCAACCACTAACCAATGAAAAAGTATACAAAAATAAGTAAATTACAACCTTTACTAAGAAAGCTCTAAGTAAATAGAAATGAGAGGGCACCATGCTGACTGAGCTCAGAGAGAGAGGAATAGTAAGAATTCTCTCTCTCATATGTGGAATATATAGAAACATAGAAAAGAAGTAACAACTGACCAATGGCAAACGGCTATGTAAGTCGACCTACAGAACTCAGTTTGTGGGTTTGAGAGATAGGACAGTGGGCAGGCCACTTGCCTTGCACAGGCCAACCTGGGTTCAATCCCCAGAGTACTACATGGTTCCCCAAGCGCTGCCAGGACTTATTGCTGAGTGTAGTCAGGAGTAAACCCCAGGGTATTACTGGGTATCCCCACACCCCTCCCCCAAATATAAAGAACTGAGCTTGCCAAGGGATGGGGCAAGGGGGGGAGAAGTGGAAAGACAGTGGGTGGATGAGTCACTGGTAGAGGGACAGTGACACTCTAATGGTGGGTGAGCTGTTTGAACTATTATTAACCGCACTGCAAATGAGTAAGTAAAAACTGAGGGGGGAAAGCTATTTAAATATGATGGACCATTTCCTATTACTATAAAGAAATGCTAGTCATTTTTAATGTTTTATTCTGATGAAAGCACTTCACTGAATCAAATTAAAATAGGAAAACTGTATTTTTAAATTCATACTTCTAAATATTTTAACAATAAATATTTGTATGTTATGGGATTAAATACAGCATAACCTCACTATTTTCCATTTTAACTGAATTCTCTTTGTGTTAAATAAGCCCAAACTATAAGGTAATTTGTAACCTGAAAAGTATCTAAATTTGATCACAAACACAAACACAGGTAATAAGAGGTCTATTATAAACAAGGGCACATTTCTGAGTATTTTTTTTTTTTTTGCTTTTGCTTTTTGGGTCATACCTGGCGATGCTCAGGGGTTACTCCTGGCTCTGCACTCAGGAATGACTCCTGGTGGTGCCCAGAGGACAATATGGGATGCTGGGAATTGAACCTGGGTCGGCCACGTGCAAGGTAAATGCCCTCCCCACTATGCTATCACTCCAGCCCCCATTTCTGGGTATTTTTAAAAAATTTACCAAAGAAGTGCTAAGAATCATTGGTTTAAGTCAACAAATAACAAACTCTTAACTTTAGTTGAAACATTATCAAGTATTTTAGTAAGGATGTATTAATGAATAGATAAAGAATACTCTGTATATCTTCACAAACTGGTTTCAAATGTTCTAATTTGTTTTTTAAAAAGTTCTAGTTAAGGAATTCTTTTTCTTTCTACTTTTTGGGTCACATCTGGTGATGTACAGAGGTTACTCCTGGCTCATGCACTCAGGAATTACTCCTGGCGGTGCTTGGGGGACCATATGGGATGTTTGGAATGGAACCCAGGCTGGCCGCATGCAAGGCAAATACCCTACCCGCTATGCTACCGATTCCAGCCCCAAGGAATTCTTTTTATATTCAGAGGTTACCTAAAGCAAGTAAATGAAAGTTATCATGAAGCAAAATTTGCCTATGTGATCAGATTATAAAACATTAGTGTAACTAATTTCTACAAAGAAAAAATCTGCCTGCTTAAATTTTAGTCAATTCTAGCTATTAAGTATGTCAAGTACAACAAGCCTATGCTTGTAAAAGTCATTATTTTGTTAAAAGGTTGATAGAAAATAATTATCACATATCCATCCTTTTGATTCACATCTCAGTTCCTAAGAACCAACAGATGACATTAACTAAGTACCTTGGCATAGAGGTACTTGCCATAGAGGGAAAGGGAAAATAATCTCCCTAAACTTTTCCAGGTAACAAACAAATATCTGGTCAAAATATTGTTGCAATTTCGTGTTTCTTTCTATGTCAAAAATGTTTTTCTGAATTATGTCTTTAAATATTTGCTGTGTCTCATTGTTTCCTTCTTCTGAGGTTCAAATATGCATTTATGTTCTGATTTCTGCATCCATCATTTTCTCTAATGTGCCTGGCAAGTTTAGTCCATCTTTGGCTATTTCTAGCTTCTATGTCATTTTACTTTATTTTCCATATTCTCTATTGTCCAATATGATGCTTCCAAACTCACTGAATGATGATTATTTAATTCCAATCTCACTTTCATTCAAACCACAAGAATAATCTGTGTGTGTGTGTGTGTGTGTAGCACATGTGACATGCTAACATAGGATCAATTAAACTTGAGAAAGCTATTTGAAAATTCTTTCTACTACTTTCACAACTTTTCTCTAACAATGACATTTAACAATAAAAAGGAAAAAAAATGAAAATCAAATTGGCTAAGAGATATTTTATCTTCCCTAACAATGTTAAGATTATCTTTAGTACAGTCCACTCATCGAATTGTGAAATCTTTGGACTAGGAGAACACTTGAACATTTGGCATATCTCTTACAAAAAACTTCTCAACTGACAGATGAAGACAGTAAAATTAAATGACTTATTGTAGGTCATAACAAGTTGACGTTAAAGCAATTTTGCTCAGACACAATTCTTTCAACTATTATGTGCAATCACTCAATAACTTTCCATTGTCCTCCATCTCCTAAAAAGCGAACCTCTCATATTATATTCCAATTCCTCTTATATTCCAATAAGCTAGTGTGGCAAAGTAAACTCTATTTTCAAAGGATGCTTTTAAAATGTTTCTCACAAGTCTTAAAAGCTAGTATCTAAACATATTTATTTGTCTGTGCTCATAATACCCATGGTGTTAACAAAGTATCATAGGACAACAAATAGTTATTCTTGCATAGCAAAATCTAGAAAGGTTTCTAAAATTTAAGGACATCAAGGTGAAGCCTGGAGGGGCAAAGCACTTGCCCTTCTAGCTGCCAACCCAGGTCCTATCCCTAGCACTATATACGGTCCTCCAAACCCCCCACCAGACGTGATCCTTGAGCACAGAATCAGGAGTAAGCCCTGAGTAGTGCTTGGTGTGGCCCCAAAACATAACCAAGACTAAAACCAAATAATAATAATAATAATGAGACTTGACAGATAAATTAAGACCTGACAGACTTCAACTGACATAGAAGCCACAGGACGCTGAGAATAAGTAAAGGAGTCAGATAAAACCACCTAAAGGCCAGAAAATACTTGATATTTCTACTGAATGTTTTAAAATAGGCTTACCTATTGTTGCTGCAAGTTCTGGATCAAAAGTATCATCTGTGAACCTCAAGAGCAGGCTAAAAGAGAAATTAAAAAGACAGATTAGGAATTTGACTTTTCTAATTATGTGATGCTTTCATGACATTTGTTGTACTTTAAATTTGTAACAAATTTAAACGTCGATTAGAAAAACCAATGGAAATATGCTCCCAGAAAAATGTCACCTCAATGCAGATACATACAAAATTAAATTATTGAAAAGACAATTAAAGACTCCCCAGGGCAAAGCAGTTATCTAGAAAATCTATTCCCCATGCTCCTCCACATAATTCCCAAGAGTGAAAGGTTTGTTTTTTTTTTTTTTTAAACCTCTACTGGTATGAGAAAGTGGTATTAGCAGCATGTCAAGCTTTGGAAGTCACTTGGAACACAAAAACATTATTTTCTAAAATCTGATATGTGATTCATTCTGAGTTCAAGTAAAAACTGAAAGGCCTGGGGCTGAAGAGAGAGTATAGAGGGTAGGGCACTAGCCTTATACACGGGCGACCTGGGTTCAATTCCCAGCACCTCATATGGTCTCCCGAGTTCCAGGGTGCTCTGAGCACCACTGGGTGTGGCTCAAAAATAGAAAGGAAACGAAAAGGAAAGACCTGGAAGTCTTGTGCTTAATTACAATTAACAGGACTATTATCTAAGTGGGAAGAAAAGATAGAGTAAAAAGTCAGGGGATAAAGATCACAAGGTCAGACCAGGTATAAGTTAGCTAGGTGGGGCGTATGAAATCAATCACACAACGGGAAGTTACTGAGACTTTCAGAGAAAGGAATCCAGAAACCACTAAACATTTTGAAAAGTTGGCAGCAGAAGATGCAAAAGATGACAGCAGAGGGCCAGAGAGATGGTACAAAGGGTAAGGTGCTTGCTTACTGACCCTACATCAATACAGGAGACTATACTTGGTCTCCCTAGCAGCACGAGTGATCCCAGAGCACAAAGCCATAAGCACTGCCCCAGGTATGTCTCCCCACCCCACTCAAAAAAAAAAAGGGGGGGGCAAAGGGGCCTGGAGGAGCAGCACAGTGGTTTAGAAACCCCTGCAAGTAGAAAACCATAAAGTCCATCCCAGTGCCTCTACAGGCACTGAGTGTGATGCAGGCAACTAACCAGCAATTTCTGTCCACACCACAGCCAAGCATATTTGCAGTTCCACAATAAAGGGGTGCAATCCTCCAGAGCACCACAACTGAAAAATATGCCATGGCCAGGAAGCGCAAGCATGGGAACACCAAAACTCGGCCTCTTGGGGTGAACTGTGAGTCGACTGAGCACCACATCTAAATATGACCCCTAATCCTGATAACAACAAAACACAGTAATAAACTATTTTTAAGGCAGTAAAGTATATATATATAGATAGATAGATGTGTGTGTATATATATACATACATACATATATATATATATACAAAAGACTGTCAACAGAGAACAACTCCAAGATGGGGCAAAGGTTGTGACTCAACAGTAGCTTGTGTGCATGGCATGTACAAGGGTAGCACGCATACCTGGCGGTGTGTGAGGATAGCATGTGCGCCTGGCATGTGTGAGGGTAGCATGTACGCCTAGCATATGTGAGGGTAGCATGTATGCCTAGCATATGTGAGGGTAGCATGTGTGACTGCTATGTGAGTTCCTAGTTCCACCCCTGGCACTACAAATATAAAAAAGGTAACTGGGAGTTGGAATAATATTACAGTGGGTAGGGCATTTGCCTTGCATGCGGCCAACGAGGTTCGATTCCCAGTATCCCATATGGTCCCCTGAGTACCACCAAGAGTAATTTCTGAGTGCAGAGCCAGAGGTAACCCCTATGCATTGCCAGGTGTGACCCCCTCAAAATATATATATATACACACACATAAATATATATATATATATATATACACATACACACACACACATATATATATGTAAGTTTACCTACATGCCTCCTAAGGTACTGACCTGTATACAATGGTAATCTAGAAAATAGCTTTTATATATCTGAATTCCAGGGGAAAAAAAAGAGTATTTTTTTTTAACTATAAGTACTGCTGCTAGACTTGATTTTGTTGTTGTTTTGGGTTGGTTTTTTCTAGGTGGGGGGAAGGGAACGGGACGGGAGGGGGCTGAAAAGTATATTGCAAACTGTAATGACCTCTTGATAGTTTCCAAACCCAGTGCCATTAACTGTATTTAAATGATCCCTTTTTGCTTGCTCTCTTCTTTTTACCAAGCAACCAGAACCACAAAAGCTAAGGAAAACAGAAGAGTCAAATTGCAAATTTTATATTGAATCTTCTTGATATCACTATTGTATTCCAATGTGAGTCACATGACAACAAAACAAGAATCTTAAAAGACCACTTAAAAAAATATTCTCTTTCCAACATAAAGCTTCAAATTAACAATGGTAAAGATTTCAATAAAAAGTTCAGTTAACTGATCTTTTAGGTATTAAAAAAAGATATCAAGGGACAATGATAAGACACTAAGACTGTTACCACAGAAACTATCTTTAAAAAAACATACAACCTTATAGGAGGAAAATAAGAATAACAATGCCTAGACCTGAGAGAAAATTGAGTGCACACTTCGCATTCAGGAGGCTGGAGTTCAAGCCCTAGAACCACCTGGTCCCCAAAGCACCTTCACAAGCAAACTCAGGCACAAAGCCGGGAATAGCTCCTGAGAGCCATGGGTATGGGAACACCTGCCCCCCCCCCCCCCCGCAATAAATAAATAAATAAATAAATAAAAGCAATAATATAAGCAATATCAGTGGTACTGGCTATTATTTATTGAACATCAACAATGTGTCAGGCACTGATCCCAGCCACTGAGCCAGGGTTTAATTCTTTTTTTTTTTTTTTTTTTTTTTTTTTTTTGCTTTTTGGGTCACATCCAGAGATGCAGAGGGGTTACTCCTGGCTTTGCATTCAGGAACACTGAGTTCCTGGATGCTGGGAATCGAACTGGGTCAGCTGCATGCAAGGCAAACACCCTACCTGCTGTACTATCACTCCAGCCCCCAGGGTTTCATTCTTACAACAGCCCTTGTCATGCCATTGATGGTCCACTGCCAGTAAATGGAATGGTGTGTGGACAGCAACACATATTAATGCAGGTTCTGAGTATACATCAACAGGTCTTGGACAAAAAGCTACCCATAGCAAGAAGAGTACTCAAAATCCTTTGCATGGACTTTTCTAGGCTGTGTTCATTTATTAGATTTTAAAAGGAATCAATACCCCACATGTGATTAAGAATTAATGCTTCCATGTGGGGTCCATGGGGTGCACTGTGGACCCCCAGGTTACTCCAAAGAGTGCACAGGAGAAAATTGTACAAACGGGAGGCCATACCACAAGACTAAGGGGGTCACAGGAAGATCAGAAAGGAGCCAGTCAGAGAAACACTGAGAAATACTGCTAACATCTTGATTTTCAAAGGTAAGGGAGCCAAAAACATGCCACATAGAGTTACAAATAAAAAGTAGTGTGATTGTAACTAATCTAAATTTCTTAATTTACAAAGGAATTTGGTCCCAAAAAGGGATGGGAAGGGTAGAGGGAGGAACAACTGCTTGGGTAACAGTTGTTCTCTGTATTTCCTTCCAGTTTCTGAAATGCTTGGCTATTTCCTAACTTCACCACAGCTAGTCACTGAATCAAAGAACTTCATATACTTAATATCCAATGAGTTTCAACGATTCCTATTCCAACCCCCTTTTCCAATTGAAAGCCTTGAGCATTCAAGTATCACATTAAAGTCACTTAAGTGGCAGCACTGCTTTCAAAATCCGGATACTGTTTACTTTCCCACCAGTTTGAAAATTTTTAAAAAATAAATAAAAACCCTACAAATTTGAATTAGTGAAGATATCACTTCCTATACAACTTCTCAACGACACAATTCTACTGTACACTAAATCTGGATCAAAAAAGAAATAGAAACAAATAATTTCTGATTACATCCATGACATATGTTTTTGTATTAATTCACCTTTAAAAGCATAGACTATTTTAGAACCATTTTTTTTCACCGTTCAGAAGGTATTCAAAGCTGATTTCCACAGAAAATCAACTACATCAGAAATGTCAAGCTAGAATGTATATCTAGTTAGAAAAGTAATTTTTTTCAAAATATGAAATCCTCTTGTAAAAAGAGGTAGTTAAAGGTGTAAAAGGGGCAACTAACCCTAGACAGGGTCACACTACATGAAATAATATTCAATCACATTTACTTCAAAATTAGTAATTGCATATGCTTTAACCTATATGAGGGTCATATTTCAAGGGAGAGAAAGTCATAAAAGAATTCCTACTATTACAGTGGTCAGCACAGAACTAACTTTTTTATCCACAAATATGATCGTGACCCTAAAAATGATTGTACTTCGCCCTTGAAGGCACACACAGACCATCATCTTTTGCCAATCCACAATCTTCCCTGCATTTATTCCTTATGAAATACGTTTTTCACTCCAATGCAGAGAGTACATTAAATGAGACCAATTCTGAAAGTGTACTGTCATATTTTAACAATAAAAACGTTCGCACGTACTCCTAAATACGACCAAGTCTTTGTTAAACATCTAAAAACTCGTAAGTGTAAAGGTTACGTTAACAGGAGAAATCGCTAAAATGGGAAACCGTGGACCCGTCCTGGCACTTGAACAACTGCTGGAGACTGAGGCTGCCTGAGTAGATACCAGCTGGCTGGGGGGTGGGGGGAGGGGAGGGGGTTAAGCCGGCCGGGTAAGTTCAACTTGGGAACTTTGTTCTGGAGGCCTAGCTGACAGCCGCCAAAGCCCAGGTCTTACCCTTGTAACTCAACTCTATTGCATTATCTTCTCCCAAGAGCATCTCCCCACCCACTCAATGACAGTGTTTATAAAACGCGGCGGGATGCTAAGAAAAACCGTGTTTTTCAAAGGCGGTGCAGGGCAGAGGCGCTGGCATCTTAAATAATGAAAAAACTGTGAATCAGTTTTTTCACAGTTGACTCAGTTAAAAAGCAGCAAAGATGCCACCGTCGGTCGGGGGGCACCCAATAATAGGCCGGGAACATCCCGGAGGGTAAGGGTGGGGGTGGGGGTAGGGGTGAGGGTGGGGGGAGGGCCACCACGAAACTTGCCCGGAGGAACATTCGGTGTTTGGAGCCGGCGCGAGCGAAATCGCGGAGCCGCCCAGTGGCCACTCCCGACTCGCCGGGGGACAGGCGGCCCGCGGCGTCCCGGGGACACGGGCCCAGACCGGCCCGCCACGCCCTGGGTTCGGCCGCCGAGTGTCCACCGGCGGGACAGTCGGGGGCTGCTTCTCCCCCGACACTCCTCCCATCCAGACGCCTCGGGCCTGGCCAAGCCCAGTGGCGCGGGCGGGCGCGGGGAGAGGGGCCACGGCACCGTGTGACGGGGGCGGCGGGGGCGACCACGCGCGGTGTCCACCCGCTCCCGGCCCTCCCCGCCCGCCGCCGTTTACCGGCCCCGACTGTCAGCGTCCACCCAGGCCCCAGGAGCCCGGCCGCCGCGGCCACGGCCCGTAGCCCCGCCTCACCTCGACTTGCCCACGCCACTCTCGCCGATGATGAGGATCTTGAGGGTGGTCAGCACGTCCTCGTCCATCCTGGCCCTGCTCCGCGCGTCGCCCAGCTGGCCGCCCCGCTGCGCCTCGCAACCCTTAACCCCGGAAACCTCCCCGCGCACGCGCACTGCGGCCGGGCTGCCACCTTCTCTCAACTCGGGGTTGTTTGGGTGGCGAGACGCCGGGACCGCCCACTTCCGCCCCGAGGACGTATTGCGCCTGCGCAGAGCTGGAGTCTCCGAGGTATTTCCGGGGAGCGGGCCCTCCCCTGCGCAAGCGCAAATGGAAGAGCCCAGTGCTCTTTTTTTCCCCAGCCCCAGGTTCTGCCTCCTCCCTAATTCCTTTTTTTTTTTTGACAACGTGGTTTACAGTAATTTGTTACATTTAATATTCCAACACCAATCCCACCACCATTATACCTTCTAACCACTTTATTTAGAATGTTCCACCCCACTTCCCCCCACTTTGCCCCCAAAGCAAACCTAAATTATTTTCATTTGCTTGATATAAATAATCCACTAAAAATGATACAAAGAGTTTCCTTACAGTAAAACGTGTGAAGATTGTTGTATTTCGCCCTAGAGCCATTAAGTATTTGTTTTGGTACCTCAGTGTTGTTGAGTATGAGATGTTGCGTGGCTATTCCAGGAATTAGGCAGTGAACATGGCAGCAATTGAGTTCTGGAGGTTTTCGGCTTCCAGGGCTCTATTGGAGTAGGTGAGGGGACTCACCAACCTCCCTCCCCTCAGAGTTGCCCTTGATGAGTCAGCCTGCCAGGGTCTGGAGGCATTTTCAGGCCTGCTTCTCCTGTGGCTCTCCACCAGATCCTCCCAAATTCTAACCAAACCTTTTGACTGTGGGTTTGGGAGAGAGAGGAGTCCTGTCTGAGTAACGCTTCATTCCAGCCACTGCTTGTCACAGCTGCATTGCAGAGGTAAGGGATTGGATTTGAAAGCTGCATACAGTAAATAATGTGTGTGGTTCCAACTAGGCCATATCGTGTGACCTATATTTGTTGTACATTTTGTGCCTATTTTCTCATCTCACAGAGACCATAATCATTCTTACCAGCTTGTTAGAAGAGTTATGCTGACCTGACCCGGAACTATAGGACAGCAGAGAAGGTGCTTGCCTTGTATGCTGCCCACCCAGATTCCATCCGAGACCCTCCCTAGGATCCCCCAAGCATGCTAGGAGTGATCCCTGAGCATCACCAGATGAGGCCCGCAAAACAAAACAAAAAAAAATGTATTATGCCAACCAAATAAATATTACTTTGTGAAAGCACAGTGTTAAGTGCTCAATAAAAGATGTGACCCCTTTAATTCCTGGCATATCTTCTCTTCCATTAAGAGTACCCTTTAAAGGTAAGTTCCTCTTTAAGGGGAGATGTGAAGTTCCAGCTAGATCTGAGTCATACAGAACTCTGGTGGTGCAAGTTCAGACCAACTATTCCAGTTCTTCAAAACTGTTACACAATTTCAGGAATTGTTTGTATATGCTTTGCTTTGTCCCCTTGTGAAGGTATCACGACTCAAAACACCTAGCATGGATGTGAGGGCGATCTGGCTGCGACATCTGTCACCCCAGTGATCACCAGGGTTGTTTCGGCTGATCTGGCTGGCTAGGTGGGTGTCCCCTTCCTCCCTCACCGCTTCATGTGCGTCCCTCCCAAAACTACGTGCTTGGTTGAAGAGGAAGGCCTTCTCAGAATAGAGATGGACCAGTCTTCGGTCGAGAGTATAAAAGCAGCTGCGCTCTCCTGCTAGAACCTCCAAACAAGCTCTCAAAATACCTAGCATGGTGCTTGGTACTGAGGCAGAGACGTAGATAGGGAAGGTTCCCCCATGGCATGAGTTCCTGGGAAACAGTAAAATCCATCTGGCTCTGAGGCTGTCAGAACCTACCTTGTGGACATAGAAACTAAGGCCTGATAAGACCAAGACCTTTACCTGGCACCAGGTACAGACCCAGAGAAGGCTGAACCCCACTCTGAGAGCAGCTCCAGCAAAAACAAAGGCCAGGAAAGGAATATTAAAGAAGACCTTCAACTACTCCTAAATCTAACCCTTAGCAAACGCCCTAGTAACCTAGGTAGAAAGCCCTATGTGGGGCAGTCTGGGAGAAACCCTCTAAAAGCCCCCTTGAACAAAGGAGTGTGCACATATGTTGCTCATGTGTTGTTTTTGAACGCATGCGATGCCCAAGCAAATCTCCCCTTTTGAGATGTGTATTTTTGTACCTTCAAACGAAGACTAGGCTGTATACTGGGTCTGTCTCTCTGTGTATCTCTGTCTCTCTCTAACTTCCTCTCTCTTTTCTTCTCTCTCACATCCACTTTCTCACTCTCTCTCTCTCACTCCCCCTCCTACCCATCCCTCAAAACTACCAAAATAAAATTCCACTGCTTGTCTCCTGAATTTCCATTCTGTGACAGAAAGGTGAGATCCTGGAAGTTCTAGGTAAGGTCTAGGACTGACTTTCCTTTCTTGCAAGGCCCACAGTCAATTCTTATCAGTTCTGGATTTCCCCAGCTGTTCCTGGGTGGCAGCGTTGGATAGAGAGAAATGGCAGATTCTCTTCTAGAGGCTGCAGCCTCTCTCTTCCCCTCACTTCACATAAATTACCCGGGGACACCAACAGTATCAGTGCTAGCAGTCACTAAAAATTTATTTTCATGTAAATATGATGCGATTCCTCCGCCCCTCTCGGAGAGCCCGGCAAGCTACCGAGAGTATCTCACCCACAGGACAAAGCCTGGCAAGCTACCCGTAACGTATTCAATATGCCAAACACAGTAACAACAAGTCTCACAATGGAGACATTACTGGGCCCACTCGAGCAAATCAATTAACAATGGGAGGACAGTGACAATGAAAACATGCATTTATATATCATAGATACAGGTTCCCTGTATAGAAATTCTAGAAATTGTACTTTTTTCTTTATTACTTTATTCATTGTATAATTTCCAAAGATTCACATGAGTTATATACTAAACAGAACAAATTAACCAACAAAAATAAACTTTAACCAGGGAGGAGATGGGTAAATCAAGTAAGTGTTCTATTCTATGATGAGGAAGAAATTGGGCTTTTAATGGTGACTGTAATGTGTCTAAAAGATGCTAATTTATAATAATGTACACCTGAAATGTATATAATGCTATAATGCAATGCAACCTCCAAATACTTGGTTTTATGAAGGCAAAAATTTTAATTTGGTTTGGTTCAGCCTACTGTCCTATTTTTTGTCTAAAGTAGTTTATTGTTGGATAATACTAGGTTGTCCTTGCTCCTACTGCAAGAAGCTTAGGTTTATTAAGTTACTCCCACAACAGTGCTCCTGCGGCACATCCAATTCCCAATTCCGTCAAGCACTAATAATCCTATACTGCCTTTCTCTTTCCTTTATGTCACTTTCATGGTTTAGCAATGTCCTTTTTGTATAGACACAGGAAGACAGTTCATGCTCTGCTTTCGTAACATGGGATTTAATTGACTTCAAATAATATTTACTCCTGGGCATCCATCATATTTACCTGACTTAAGCCTCATTTCCCTTAGTTCCTAGCACCCGAAAAGCAGGGTTTCAATGAAGGGACTGGATGGGCCCAAGGCAAGCCATAAGATACCTTGGCATCGAAAGGGAACAAGCTAAGTGCCATAAGTATAATAAGAGCATGGTCATGGAACAAACTCTGTCATGACCCAAAAAGAAGTAACTGAATAAGGACCCTGCTGGGGTTAGGAAAGACTAACCTGGCCTGAGGACTGTTGTCTGGAATAAACAGTAAGATGTCCCCAGGGAGAGCCAACCTTTAAGCTTAATATATCTCTTACTGTGTTCATACAAAATGACTAGAAATATTATAAAAAGTAAATTTATTATGATTCTTTTAATGGATTACTAGCTGAGGAAAGGAGAAAGCAATACACCCTGAATGGAACCCCATCCTTGAGCGGATCTCCTAATAAACTGGAGGGCTGAACCCTGAGATGACATTTTGTCCTTGAGTTAATCCCCTAGAACTTCCCTTGATGGAGTGGTTTTACCTCTGTTTGTTGTTATGACAATGTTCAACCCCACCTATGTGTACCCCCACCCTTCATTATTGCTATATAACTATGCTGTAAGGGGAGAGGGAGAACACTTTGAGGTCTACAAGGATACTAGGATAAAGGAACTATGATGACTGGGATTACGAGCAAAACTATGACTATAATTGTGCTATAAGGGGAGAAATCGGAGTATGCTGGGGAGGAGAGAGAAATAAACTGACTACCAGCCTGGGACCCTATTTCTCCATTCTCTCAATTCTTGGTCTGTCATCATGAGCCGGCCAGGGGAACAGTTCTTGGCCACCGAACGCTCAAGTCCCACACGTGCCCCCTGCGCTTTTCTTTTGAAACTCACAGTTCATGACATTATAATGTGTGCTGTTTGTTGAATAAATTGAACGTCACTGCTAATTTGGGAAGCTGATACCAAACCAGTCATCGAAACCTCTCATAAAATAGCCCTGAACCTCAGTCAACTCTATTTCGGCAACTTTTGGCTTAATGCGGCAGGAGCAGATTTGTGAGGTTCACAGTACTGACAGTCTCTCAGACTCAGGAATATAAAAGTGTCGACCTTAATCCCTTTCATGGGGGCATGTGAGATCAAAGTATGATAATTATTTAAGATGCTATGTACTTCTTGTTCCCTGAAAGCACAGTGGAGTTTTTCAGAGGCTACGTATGATAAAAAGCAGACTGATGGGAGACTCAGTTCTGAGAATATAGCTGTTTTCTATTAACCCAGACATTAAAGAGTAGCATAAAAATGTAAAATTAAAATATATCCACTCTTGTCACTAATTTTTGTTTTTAAAAACAACAGTTATTTTAGGGCCAGAGAGATAGCTCAAGTGGCCTGGGCGTATGCTTTGCCTGCAGAAGCCCTTGGTTCCATCCCCAGCAGCAGGTGGTGTTCCCCAAGGCCCCCAGAGCACTTTAGAATTCTACACTATATTCAAAACATTTTTAAGTTATATATCTTTCCATCTCTTTATCTTATCCAGATTTTTTCCTTTTTCCCCCCCTTTTTTTGGGGTCACACCTGGCAATGCACAGGGATTACTCCTGGCTCTGCACTCAGGAATCACCCCTGGTGGTGCTCAGGGGACCATATGGAA